CCCTCAACTCTCCACACAGCACAGCCCCTCTTGTGGATGGACTTTTCTGAGATGTGTATTTATTATAGATATTTAATAGGAGGCATTGTACTCTCACAGGCGTTTAAATGGACAAATCGAACATGCTTGAGAGCATATTTCAGTGGTCCTATCGCAGAAGAACACATGCAGGCAGACGAAAGCATATCCGTCCTTAAATAGTATGTATTTTTACCAGAGCTCTGCATGAATTCCAAGTATTCATCACAGCTATACTCGTGGCAGTAGTTTGAGCTAATAATTAAGATAATAACACTTACATATATAACCCAACAACAACCTGCTAAGTGCCACCATACTCGTACATAATGCGCTGAAAAGTGTGTGCCGACGCCTTTAAGAAGTCATTAATTAATTAATTGTAGTTATGTTTATTTCTGAAGCTGTATTATTTAAATACATATTTTGCTTTTGGCCACTTTGGTGGTAAAGTATACCAAACCACACATTTTTAGTTGCAATGCGAGAGAGCTCTTACTTCATCCAAGATGCGAGTATATTGAAACTTACTTTCATCCACAAAAGTATATCTGTGTCCTACTAAGAAGGCACCTAATGGCAGTTACAAGCCGTTATATCTCGCTCCCCTCCGCTATGGCGCCTTGGCCAGGAGGCGCAGAGAGAGAAGGAGGGAGAGAGAGAGTGAGTGATACAGTTGAGAGGGGCCCTCCTAGCTTTACTAATGATCCGATCAGCAATCTGGTGGACATGGTCACTCTCCATATCAATCACAGAACTAATATATCCCTGAACTCTTCGAGTAAATCTCGGAGTTTGAGATTCTGATCGGCAATAAAAGCGATCCAGCGATAACAGTACTGCAAATAAGTGTAAAAGTGTACGATCCGAAAATTTCGAGCTTTCTTTCTCGCTCATTCACCATTTAATTTGGTAGAGAGAACGAGCTTTTAGTGATTCGGGGTGTCGTTGTCTATGTTGAAATCTGGAATGCAGATACCAAATTAATTGGGAGACTAGGACCCATGAAGTGGTTCTTTTAACTTGAGTGGATTCAGTTTGTTATTCCGCCTTGGGCAACATTTTCTTCAATTTCTTCGCCAGAAATGAAACCCCGCCTGGCTTTGCCTGGTACCGCTTCAATTGGTAGAGAATAGAGAAGGATATAAATCTGTAAATGTTCAGTATACGTACACCAGTTCACAGAATCAACGTCAGAATCAATCTCATCCACATCTATGCATATCTATATCCACCGGCTACTGCTATCCTCCTACTTTTCGGCTACACTTTTTTGCGTGCTGGAACTCCTGAAATTAAAATCGAAATCATACCATCTCAACACATTTTGTAATGCAGCAAAAACTAACCAAAAATCATAAAAGTCAGGTCCGGCTGAGTGGCAAGATGGCAGGATGGCACAGGGTTGATGGGTGGGTTGACTGAGCAAACACAGAAATAATGCAAATGCAAATGAATCCGCGACAGCAGGATGTCGGGGATATCAGGGAGGAGGAGCTTCTCCATGGAACAGGTGTTCCACTTGCTTCTTTATGCCAATAAAAACTGTGCGCCTGTATGCACACATGCATATGAGCCACTGTGTCTGTGTGTGCGCGCGTGTGTGTGTCTGTGTGTGTGGTTTGTATAAAAATGTAATAACAAAGTTGGCGGCATTGCTTTTTATGGCCTTTTTGTCATTGTGTGCAGTAAAAACTATTTGCCGAACCGCCCCTACACTCCCCCTCTCCCATGTACGAGTATGTTTACCAGCAAAATGCCAATGGACACAAAATCCCGTGCGCCCCATGACTGCTGTGTGTGTATGGCTATGTCTCTGGCTCTCTAGCTCTCTGGCTCTCTGGCTCTGTGTCTGTTGTCATATCAGTGTGCTAAAAGTAACCGCATGACGCTGAAAAGTATGCAATGGCTCCTGCGAAAGCCTCCTGCAGTGAAGGACCGCAAGAGCACTGAAGACAGGTCCTGTGGTCCAGGCAGGAATATCCGTAGCAACAGTTCCATGTGCATGGGCGGGGGCATGAACGGGGGGGCATTGGCAGGCGCCCGTCAGCGTTTTCATTTCAAATTCAAATGCTGTTTGCATAAAAAACGAGCCAAGACATCGAAAGGCATCACGTTTGCCGGTTGCCTGGAACTGGATCCGAAAACTGAAGTCCTCCTGCTCCATCCGGGGGCATCTGGGGGAGTAGTGACAATAGCAACAAACGGATGCAGTGGCAGGGATAGATGGATGAGCGGACAGGACAGATGGGTGACTCGTTGGATGGAATGGGTATTGGGTCTGGGTTGCACTGCCAGAATGTTTGCAATGTCGTTGGCCGTGGGGGTCCCCATGCCCCCGTTCAACAAAAACAAAAAAAAAAATCGAAGCAGAATTGCCAAAGACGTTTCATTTGGCCAACAGGCGGTAGAGCCAGCTGGCAGTCGCCGCTTTTGCATGTACTTGCCCGTGTCCGTGGGGTATGTGGCACGTGGTACGGAGAACAGAGAACGGGGTACGGGGTACGGGGTACGGGTCTGTGTCCATGTCCGTGTTGGGTTAAGTGGATTGTTTACTTTGATTACAAAAATATGGCAAATGTTTGCACGTTTGATGTCTCACTATGTGTGTGTGTGTGTGTGTGTGTGTGTAAAAGAGGAGCAGAAAATGGAAGGAACAAGTGATGGAACAAAAGGGAATGAGAATGAAAGAGAGCGAACATGAGCGATCGATCGTGTTCTATCGATATCGATATCGAGTGGTGCAAGTATTTCGATGATTTCGCTTCCATTTCTTCTAAAGCCATACAGCGATTCCTATTCGATTCGTATCGCTAAGTGAGACTAGGGTTATAGCTACCATGATAGTTTATTCCTCGTTCTGTAGAATACATTTTGTATAGCTTAAGGCATGAAGAGCTCAGTTATTGAAGGCAAGAGCTGTGATAATATTTTTTGTAATTCCCACGCTCTCACGCTCTCATCTCTAGGGCAAACAATTGCAGTCGAAAAACACACACTCACATTTGCATACAGAGGGTGAAGTAGAGAGAGAAAGAGAGAGATAGTTGGATAGAAGTACAGTCAGACTGGGAGACAAATGGCGTTTGCCTTGGCGCGCGCTTGTAAAATCCAAAAGCTAACATTATTACAAAAAATCTGCAGTTATACATTTGACTTTGGGTTTATTTTTATGATTTTTACAGTTTTGCAGTTTGCAGTTGACCGACCGACCCTCTGACCCTTCGCCTCCCGACTACCGCCTGCTGGTTGGCTGGTTTTTTATTACATTGAGCCTTTGGGAGTCAGAGGGAAGGAACAATCGGGATGCCAGATGGAAGGAATCTGTTGATTGCGGGAATAGTAGTGCAGGGCGTATGGAAATCACAGGAAACACCAATAGAAATGGTAAAAAACGTACGAAAATAAAGGTGTTAGAAGGGTTTTACGTACAATTTTTGAAATTTTTCAAAAGGAAAAAAAAGGCTTCGAGTCAGAAAAGAATGAATAGATGAATGCATCAGAGCATATACAGAATGAAGAGAGAGGACCATACCCCACCAGTGGGTCATCGAAGGTCAGCAGATCAGATATCCACCTCTTTAGTGGGAGGGAGCTCGAGCCGGAGCCGGAGCTGGAGCCGGAGCCGTCAAGTTCACATATTTGCATTTTGCTGCAATGTTTGCACTGCCCCGAAAACTAATTTTGACAGGCGGCGGGACAAGGACAAAGAAGTGCAGGAAACGGGAAATGTTACTCGCTTATTGGAATAACTTTTATTTGCATGGACAGTGGCATGAAATCACAGAGCCAGCCCACGCCCACGCCCACGCCCACAATGCCAAATAGTTTTTATTCTTAGTCTTTCGTGTTCTTTTATTTTTCCGAGCAGAATATTCCCCCTTTCTTTCCGCCTTCTGGGTGCATTTTATTTTATTAATGGGAATTTGTTTTGGCCAAAACGTTGAACCGAACCGAACCGAACCGAACGGAGTGTCGAGTGTTTGGGGCTGGGCAATGGAGAGCGAAGCTCTGGCCAGGATGCGGCCAGGATGCCACCAGGATGCCGCCTCGTCGCTATTATGGCAGCCATTTGTTTGCACGCGAGCATCCGAGTGCCAGCGGACGTCACGGTACCGTGGGACCTGGGACCTGGGACCTGAGACTAGGGTCCAACAGGGCGTATGCGCTATATAATTTTTCTAGCGCTCTTGGTGGTCCCCGAATCCTGGGCCCAGCGGTCCCACCCGCCCACCGACGACCACATGTCGCTCATGATTAATTGAAAGATTCTCTCAACTTCAACTGTTTTCGGGGTTTGCGTTTTGCGTTTCTCCATTTTATTTTATTTTTTTTTGTATTTTATTATACTACTTCTCGTTTTCCCCTGCTGCTGGGCTGCTAGTTGCGAGTGGTGGCTGTTGCTGTTGCTGTTGGCCAAAGTGTTTTGATTAATGAACAAAGCTGTGGGAAATTTAAATAAATTCCTTGGAATATCAAATGCTGTTTTCCATGGAAATGCCATCAAGTTTGTACGTTTAACAATTAGTTCTCGGGGGCTCATTGTTGTTTGACTTAAAGCTGAGCAGTACCCAAAGAATATGACTCGTACTCGTACTTTGGGTATGCCATTACGAAAATGTGGCTTGCTAAACTCTATTAATTGATACCAGACGAATCGATATATCTTAAATGAGGACGGAACTCCCCACTCTTTAAGGTAGATACTTCTTGGAGAACTTCGAGCAGATGTACTTCCATATGCTGCTAATTTGCCAAACGGTATATGTACCGTCCCTAGCTTATTACACTAATAGAACTAGCTTGATGGGGGAATTGTCGGAAATACTCTAGAGGTAGAGTTGTTCTTGAGTTCCAATCAGTGGCCGACAGCCCCCACAACCGTTTTCTTATCACAGTCTTACCACAGTTGTAGAAGTACTCCCTGATAAGAGTCGCTAGTTCTTGAGGTATCGCCGGCAAATTGGCGTGTCAGTGTCGAAATGGGTGGGCACTACATCACATTGGAGCATCGGCATCGGCTCAGCGATACCACGCTCTATCCGGGTAGTGCCGGCGGCGGCGTAGTGGGAGGATCGCGAGTCGGTCACCGCCGTCTGTCATCCTGCCAGGTGCTGTTGCTGGTCCTGGTGGCCGGCAGCTCTGTGATCGCACTCTATGCCTACTGGGACGTGATGATGCTGACGGCTGGAGCCCGCGATCCCGATGGGCATAGTCCGCGGCAGCTCAGCAACGAGACACTGGCCGAGCAGCTGCGGCGCGAGGTGCGAGTCCTTTGCTGGGTGCTGACCACGCCCAAGTACCACAAATCGAGGGCGGTGCACGTGATGCGGACCTGGGGCAAACGGTGCAACAAGATCTACTTCATGACCTCGGAGCCGGACGACGAGCTGCCCACCATTGTGCTGAACAAGTCCGACAAGTACGATGTGCTCTGGGGCAAGACGAAGGAGGCCTTCACCCACATCTACGATCACATGCGGGACGAGGCAGACTGGTTCATGAAGGCGGACGATGACACGTAGGTTGGGAACGGAAGCGTAGCGCCAGTCTAAAATAATTATTGGATTTGAGTAACTTTTTATAGCTACGTGTTCCTGGAGAATCTCCGCTATATGCTCTATCCGTACTCCCCCGACCAGGCCATATATTTTGGCTACAACTTCAAGATGATCGGAGCGCACAAGAAGAACGAGGTAAATGATTTGTGAACCCTAATCTGTAACTATTTACCTTAGCGAATCGATAGTCTTACATGTCTGGTGGCAGTGGCTATGTTCTGAGCCGGGAGGCACTGCGTATTTTCGCTGAGGGATTGAACGACAGCACAAAGTGCCGGCAGGAGGACAATCATGCCGAGGACGTGGAGATGGGCCGCTGTCTGCTCAACTTGGATGTGAAAGCTGGCGACTCGCGGGACTCGAAGTTGCGCAACCGATTTTACCCCCTATTGCCCTTCGACATGCTCCTTTCGGGCTACTCGGGATTGGACTTCTGGCTGTACAAGTACGCCTACTACTCGGTTCGATCGGTAAGGGTGCATGGACTATACATAATATCCTCCAACGGAGCCTCTACAGCATTCTCTATCCTCTCTACACGACAGTGCATGGACTGCCTCTCCGAATATCCAGTGGCCTTTCACTATGTGAACCCCGAACAGCTCTATGTCTTTGACTTCTTCAACTACGATTTCCAGCTGGTGGGCAAGCAGAAGCCCGAAGAAAGACTGCCAGAGAAAATCAGGCCCGAAGACCTTATCATACCCGACTACGACAATATGTTTACCTAATTCCGATTCCAACACAAACCAATCTCCTATGAATACCCCATACTCGCAGATTACGGTGAAAACTCCTACCACAGTGGTGCTCATACACTCATACACTCACAGCCACAAGAACTACACCAAGAATTTAAACGAAAATCAAGAAAAGTTTTTATTGTACAGCTCCAATTTTTGTTCTCAAATTAGTTCTATATGTCAGTGTTCTAATACAGCAATAACCAGGTTATTAAAATTTATATTCAGCGAAATAATTAAAAAATCTGCAACCATCTCCAAAATGTCCTGCTCATATACTTAAGCCACCCGGAAAAAAATGGTTACAAAATTTAAAATTTGCCCAGTATCCCTAGTATTTTTAATAAATTTACTTTAATATTGAGTGGGATGACATTTCTGCTTAAGAAAAGTGGAGCAACGCTTTGGTATTGAATCTACAAGACGTGCGCACTGTTGAGGGGTGATTTTCTTCCATTCTTCCTTTAAAATTCGGTGTAGTTCTTGTGTCCTAAGTGTATGAGCACCACTGTATGAGCGGAGACCGCAACTCTACATTTACACCCGATAATTCGTCAGTATGGCTCTCCTCCGGCGGACGCCGCTAACATTGCACGACACGACAAGGAGTGCGTGCGAGAAAGACAGAAAACGTGTCTGAACATGTTTTCGGGCTACTGCAAATCGATTTGTTTCTTTTGGCCATAAAAATGATCCGATCTGATCCAGTAATCTGATAGATATGGTACTCAAAGAGTATGGGGTTATAATAGATTTTTGGAGAAAGTGTGCAACACCCAGAAGGAAGCGTTTCCGGCCCCACAAAGTAAATTCTTGAGTAGCATCAATAGCCGAGTCGGTATAGCCATGTCTGTCTGTCCGTCTGTCTGTTTGACTTGTTTGGTTTGAATAGGTTGGACCCATTTTGTGGGCCTCTTCACAAAATGATACTCGTTAGAATATTACCAATTACACAAAATTGAATGAAAACTTCCTCACTTCCTCTCTCAGTTCCTCTCTCATTTGAATCTATTGTACAAGTGCATCAACTATCAACTTGACACAAAAAGGTTCTCGTAGAAAAACGTTATGTTTTTTAGCTCTTATCTTTGTGAGAGTGAAGTAGAAATACTTTTGGATAGTTCATATTAGCTGATAAGGGTTCTACTGGGGCTACCGTACTGACTGATAGGGGCTATCCTACCACATCTTGAAGAGTTTCATACTCACATCCACCGATGTCCTGTCTTTTAGCTATCAAGAAGACAATAATAGCGTATACCTTGCCTTTTTCTGATCACTTGACTCTCATTCTCGTGGGATGCTAATTAAGGTCAACACACACAGACATCTCCAAGCAACATTTTCTGGGCTAATAAGTTCTTCGTGGCCTTCTTGGCAAGCCGGTCCAGAATCGCGTCAAATGGGCATTGGAATTGGAGTACGAGTACGAATACGAATAGAAATGGGAATTGGTAATGCTATGCTGCCCACCCACAAAACACTTGGCTCTAATGCGTTTTGGGGCAGGGCCAAGTCATGCCAGCCATACCAGCCAGGGCATTGTGTGTGTGTGTGGGTGGCCGTGGGCGAGGGCGAGGGGAGGCGCAGGTCCGATGTTCCGGCATTGTTTCGTCCTGCGAGCCAGACAATTTCCGGTCGTAAAAGTGGTCCTCCGTCTGCATGGCGATGGGGGGGAGTGAAGAGTGGGAAGCGAGTGCTACCCGGGATCCACTGCCGGCTGGCCACTGTAATTAATACCAAAATAATTGTATTTGGATAACACAAACGTAATCAAGATTAATTGAGTAACAGCAGGTAGTTTGCATAATTAGAGCGCGGCTGAAAGCGTAGACAGACCGCTGCCATCCCGGGGCGTCGGTCCCTCCTGCACCTCCGCCTCTACCCAGTGATGGCGCCGACGACTACCGAAAACATAATTTGCAATTTCGACTGTCTGATGTTGGTACTGCCAACTCGGTTGGTTTCCCTCCCTCCCTCCCTCCCTCCCTCCCTGCTCCTCTGTGTCTCCCTCACTTGTGCATCATTGGTCGGAGGCACGAGCACCAAGAACACGGCCAGGCACAGGACCACGGGCCATTCACTTCCATAGTGGGTTGCTTAAAGAGCAACGATTCTATTTGAAAGCTCAAACATGGCCTTGTCCTAAACGGTTTTATATTTGTACAAAGATTACTTTGGCCTAATGATAACTTAAATGGAAGAATCTTTTCCTAGGGTAAGTCTGAAAGATTCTCTCACGGCATAGAGATAAAGCTTCAGACTAATTCAAGACTTTTAAGCAGCAGTAGTACACACAAGGACTGTACGGGGAATGAAGTATTTATGACGTAAGTAGAAATAATCGAACAGATAATGATGCTAGAATACACTGTATGGTTGGTTGTCTGACCGAAGCAGTGGTTGAGACAGGACCTACCTGTTCCTTGATGCACTATATCGCACACGTCCTCGTACAACCAGCTATCCATGTTTATAGATCTTTGGCTTTGGCTTTGGCTTTGTGCTTGTGTGCTTGTGTGGCTGTGTGTTGTGTCGAGAGTGTGGGGCACACAAATCATTTTCAGTTTGTACAATTTCTATGTCAACTTGTGTTGTTGGCTTTTCTTTTCGTTTCGTTGGGGTCGTTTGCTTCTTTTTTTTTCGCTGTTGTTTTAAGCCCCAACTTTGGCTCGTTGTGCCACTTTTGTTTAGCCACACACACACTAGCTCACCAGCACACCAGCACACACACATGCACAAACAGTTCGTTGGCAATCGTTGTTGCTCGACTGCACTTCCGGCCTTTTGGGGCTACACCGCCATTGACTGTTCAACCATGCAGTTGCATACAAAAACCCATATACATATATACGCCCACACACACACACACACACACACGCACACGCGCACTCGTACATGTGTACCACTAACACATGCACTCAAAACAGGCACACACACACACACACACACACACAGACACAGTTTCAGGTTCGCCGGCATATCCGGGCTTTATGCCTGGCAATGGACTTTACTTTGCCGGCGGCTACAGAGCAGACCATCACGAGCACAGTGGACCATCGATTGGAAAATTGATTGACTTTTGGCGTAGAGCGTGTGTGGAAGACTTTTTTGTTGAAAAATCGTATATTCTACATTCAAATAAATTAATTCTTTACCTCGAAGGGATATCAATTTGGCTGAAAGCATTTATAATTGATCCAGATTCTCAGGATTCGTTTATAGATCCATGGACTGGTGAGTTTTGCTTTTCTTTTTGTAATGCTAAAGCATAAAACTATCCCATAAGATCAATACCTATCTAAGGACCTATTCAAAGTGTATTCTTTTAACCGATTTATGTCTTTATGCCTTACAAAATATGTGGGGAGTATCTGAAAGAGTCAGATCAAGAGTTCTATAACAAAATGGCACAAATTAATAGACTCCTGGATTGAATAATAGGAGCACAATTCGATTGCTGCAAACGATTCCCTGAGGATATGAAAACCCTGACAAATGGACTGGAAAAAAATATGCCAAATTACGAGTATATGTGAATTTAAGTGTTTTTTTGACAAAAATATTGAATCTAGATAGTCCATTCTTAAGCCTATTTTCAAACCAAAGCCAAATCGGACTTGTGCCACAGTCCAGGACATGCACTGGTGCCTTTTTGTTTACCCTTCTCTTTAGTTATTTTTGGTTCTTTTTTTGTGTTTTTTTTTTTTTTGGAGGAAAGGCAAGGTTCGGGGCCTGTCAGCTTTTTCAGCTTCAAACCATTGAAAAGTTCTCAGTTGCAACTGCAAATTATGTTGCCTGGTGCTGTTGATTGTTGCTGCAGCTCCTGCTCCTGCTGCTCCTGCTGCTGCTGCTGTTGTTGTCTCTGACAGTGCCTGATAATGGCATACAATGTTTATTTACTTGCTTTAACATTTTTTGGCACCCTTGCAAAGTGCAGTATGTGTGAGCGCGACAAGAGTTTGCAATGCCCGGAAAGAAGGCAAACAGGAAGGTGGGATCATCGTCGATGGGCTTGGACTGGAGAGGATCTTTCGGAAAACAAGTATTCTTGTAGTTTGATTTACTTTTCCATGGTATCGGATGACTATAACCACCTGAAAGAGCATCAAATGGTTCGTCCTTTCTTGTTGCTGTTGCCACAGGAGCTGCTGCTGCTGCTGCTGCTGTTGTTGTTCATTTTACTTTATTTTCCATTGGCCTCGCCCCGTACGGACATGCCCCGCACTGCCGCTGCTGCTGCTGCTGCATGCAACATGCTGACAATGAGACACTTGAGCATTTGGCGCCTGATTGCATGCCACACTTTTGCTGCTGCAGCGTGCAAGCGAGATGGCTGACTCGTGTGTGTGCAACTCTACTGCGACTGCCATCTCTCTCGTTTTGTCATGTTTGTTTGCTTTTTCGACTTTGACTTAACTTATTTGTTGCTCTTCCTGTTGTTGTCCTCATACTGCATGCTGCATGCCTCATGCACACACACACACACATACGCATGATGTGGGTGAGTTGGCTGCCACACCCCCACTTCCACTGTGCCACTCCGCCGCTCCGCCGCTCTGCCAGTACCAGTGCCACCCGGAGTCGACGCTGTAAAGTGTCGTGTTGGATTTGCGTAATTTATGCTCTATTTGCCTTTCGGCTTCATTTCACTTTTTGCTTCTCCTGCCACTTTTTCCAAAGTATTCACAGCATCCTCTCCCCACATCCCCATATCCCCCTCCCCCTCCCCCTCCGCCTTCCTCCCACTCGTTGTTGAACTTCTCCCTTGGGTGTCCTGTCCAGGACACACGCTAAGCTCCGTGGGCTTCGGGTAAGCCGGCTGTCGACGACAGCGAGTGTGCCCTGTACTGCATACGGCCACCGTTTCGGTTCTAGTGCTTCCGATCTGTGCACCTTTAGAGCGGGGTCACCTTCTTATAAATGCTTTTGGGGGTTCACCAATTAACTTTCTCTCAATATGGGATAATCCGTTTGAAGGTGGTTCATACATATCTTGAAGGATCTGCCTGATCTGGATACGGATCTGGATTCCTGAAATGCCACCATTTGCTGTCCCTCTGCCTGAAATCGTTCCCATCTTCAAAGCGAAATGCTGCGATGCTGGATGTACCGCATCGACCAGAGGCTTCTCCATCCACAAGCCTCCCTGGGCCCAGGGCCCATGGCTTTGCTTCATTATTTTTATAGCATTGCTCAATATGAGAACTCAATAAATTCTGGGCGGCAGTGCGAGAGTCATTTTCAACAGGCGATTAGTTTGGAGCGTAAAGGTGGCAGGGCTCTCCTTCGAATTCGCCGCCGCCGACTCCCTCCCACT